ACACACACACACACACACACACACACACACACACACACACACACACACACACAGTGAAGGAGCCTGTTGAGCAAGAATCCAAATAACGCCCCCCTGGTAACAACATCAAGGCTCCCTCCTTTGTTTGTCAAGTGAGCACCGGTCAGGAGGTTGCATACTTTATCTGGGAAAATATCCATCCCAGCACATACATCCATCTTCTGAACAAAAACACACTCACACAACTTGAGTATATGAATGTGGTGTAAATGCATGCGTCTGTGTGAGGAGTCACTTAGATGAGATATGTCGAGGGCAGTTCAAGGTTAATCTACTCAGAAAAACACCAGACGTGGTATTGTTAGTGGAGCTGAAGCTGCTGGCTTCTTTTACCAGAGACGAGGGAGACACAACGTAAAAACATATTTCAAAGTCACGGTCAACTTTATTTTAAATATCTGCCGTATGCAGGATATCGACAGGATTGAAGTGCTGTTTCTCTCAGACCCCCAAAGAAAACATAAGCAAAGATACACAAGCAACTCAACAGAACTAAATAAAATCACAAGCTTCTGTTTGCACATGCACCACACACACAATAAATTCTTCTGTAGAACCAAATATAAATTCATAAAATAAATTTCTATGTAAATGTCAGTATTTAACCTCCCCATATACATGTAGGTTTACACATAAACGGCATTTGCGCAAGACGTACAACACATTCTTGCCTTTCGAAGCATTACCTCATCCATACTTCACTTTTAATGGTTAGAAGAAAGTTCTTCCTGAGGTTCCCAGGCAAACTTTCCATTCAAGACTCACAGTTCACATTGTTAAAGCACAGCCAGCGGCAGGTTAGACAGTAGCCCAGAGGCTCTCACTCCATCATCTCCACACAGCTGCCCATTAGAGTGAGCTCCCTGAACCCTGGGGAGACTTTCCAAATGAAGGTCAGTGGAGATGTGGAACAGGCAGGATGTCCCCTGCACGTGTTCTTGTTGTTCTGGCTCCATGTTTTCACCTCATCGCCTGTGGGTTTGTGCCAACTGCTGTTTGCAACACACTAGTTAAACATGTTTTACTCCTCGACTTATTCTTGACAATCAGCTGAAAGCTTGAAGCTGTCTGCAGGTCCTATTAAGAAGCCTAACAGTAACCATCAGTCACATGTCTGCGTTACTCTGTTATTAGTTACAAAAATGAAAGGGACACTTAATGTCCCCCAGCATCCATCGTGGCCCCCAAACAAGCAGACAATTTACATTTACAGCTAAAGATTTCTTCAAGCTGCTGTATTTCTATATGGTTCTAATGAGGACCACATTGATTTCTTCATGTGCTCGATGTGCCCGGGGCTCCACACACTGTTATCTCACTAAACCACAGATTGTGCCGAGGGGTTTAAAAGAGTTGCTGCTCTCATTCCTGGAGTCTGTAGGTAGAGGGACTACAAAGTGGGAAACTGGTGAACTTGGCTTGTTGAGCTTCTATCGAAGTCCTTCACACTCCACCAGCCTTTAAGCTCTGGTCAATACAGACTCCTGTAGTGCTCAGCCTTACTTGTTTCCCCCTTTGCCTGCTGCCCATGTTATTCTGCAACAATAAGGTCTATGAATCTTTAATAAAAACAGAAGGCAGCAGTCTTATGAGCGGCTCCTGTTATACACAAATCGACCCTCGGTACTAAGCTATGGCACAAGAGAAAAACAAAGAATTTAAAATCACAGCTACTCGAGGCCACTTCACAGTGAGGAAAATAAAGTGTCAGGGTGTTTAAGCTGATTCATCATACAACTGATTTTAAAAACTATGAAAAACAATTCCACATGGTGAGTCATTCCAACGTGCCTCAGCTAAATGTATTATTTCTTAACCGACTGCTGTTTTTCAGGAGTGGGAAACATTTTAGGTTAAAAACAAGATGTGTTTTCGAGTGTATATAAAATATTGTAATGTATGCAATAAACAACGTACGTAAACTGTTTGCGTATTAATATATTATATTATATATTATACAAATAGTCACAGTTAAGTACAAACTTGTCATGCAACACAAAGTTTCGATGCAGTAATTTTGATTCCCAAAATATTTCTTGTCCAACTCTGACAACTAGTGGCTAGAAAGTGCTACTACATGCAAAATTCATGTTGACAGCACTCAGCCACAATCCGAGTCGTTTGGATTGTAAATGAAGCTTTTTCTTTATAAATATAACATGATACTTTATATATTTTTCAGTTTTCGTACAAATCTGCACTGGTTTTGAAATTTCTGTGCTAGTGTCTATAAACTCACACGCAGAAATGTCATGAAGTGCCAAACTTTATTTTTTTTTTAGATCAAAACAAAGCACAGCCTTAAAAACACTGTAATGACATCCACTCAAGTGTGTGAAAAAAAAAATCAGATGCAATCAAGCACTTTTGGCTTAACATCATGCTCAGAATTACAGTTAGTCGAACGCGTTTGTCTGGTCGTGAAAAACACACAATCCTTTTAATGATTTTATATCACTATCAAAAATAATGAGTTCATCATGCCAAAGCATACGCTGACCTAAGGTGAACAGAAACGAGTTTGCGATGTCGAAAAAGGCCGTTCAATTATTCTTTTGAATATGCGGTCAGAAGAGTGTCTTCAGATGACTGGTTAGTATGCAGCCTGTGATGCAGTGGAGCACCATGGTCCTCAGGCAGGACGCAGGTGAGATCAGCCCGGGTAGAGGAAGGGAAGAGGAAGAGAGGAAAGGAAAGGAGGAGGTGGGGGATATGGGGTGGGAGTTCAGGTTTCAGATAAAGGGTAAAATGGGACTGGGGGTGTGGGGGGGGCTGATTTCGAGGCTTTGTTTTCATTTCTTCTTGGGTTTTGCCTCCAGGGGTTGGCCCATATCCTTCCCACGCAGTTTCAGCCCTGTTCATGCAGATAAGAAGTAAAATGACTGACAACTGATAAACATGATCGTTATGATATGTGGGGATAAAATACAGGTAACAGTTCTCTTACCAATTGCTCTCTCTATCTTGCACATGACCTGGTTGTTGGGAATTGCTCTCCCACATTCATAGTCTCCAATGACTTGAGGCTTCTCGTTAATTTTCTGAGGAAGAGATTAACAACACCAATGATAATAAATAATAAATATAACTGGAAACTACTACTCAAGCATGCGCAGGAGTCTCGTGAGGGCCTACGTGCCTGTGTTAGGAAACTCTTTGAGGCTTTGACGTGTGAACACATTAGAATTGGCCTATTTCGATATATATGATATATTAATGCTTTAATATGCTACAAATACCATCTTCATATTTCCTTTATATTAATTTAGGCTCTTGAGCTACCAGGTAGAATTCACTCAGTGTACAGTGGTTGATTTTGTTAATAAAGAGATATGGTTCAATATATTTAATAGGACAGTTTTTCTTCAATCTATTGAAGTGGTTTAGGCTGAAAAAAATCCTGTGTTGGTCAGACTCTGTAAACACCATGTGCATGTCTGGATACTCACAGTGGCCAGGTCTTTCTGGGTCAGGCCTTTCTCCTGTCTGCCTTGCTGGATGACCTTGCCCACCTCCAGGGTGACCCTCTCGTGGTGCAGCTCCTCCGTTTCCCGGTCCAGTTTGGCCGTGTTCTTCGTGACCAGATGCTGTTTGTTCTGTCCTGCAGACCCTGTGAAACAAGCAGTGGATTCAGGCGATGTTGAGGAATCATAGACTGAATTATAAAAACATCAAACTCATAACACGGACAGTTACATTTACTTGTGCTTGTTGTGTTTGGACTGAATCATTACAATTTTGGGATAAGAGAGCAACATCCCAGAATGGATGAAAGCTCAGCAAATGATCTGTTGTCTCAATCAAATTGGTGCAGAAAGCAGAAATTTACATTTCTTGGATGTTTCAAGGTCCTCCCCACGTCTCTGAGCAGCCGTGATAGCCTAGAGAAAACATGGACATGTGCACAACTTCAGTTTCAAACCACTGAAACGACTTGAGAACTTTGACAGTAGACTCTCTGCAACATAACCAAGCTCATGTACACTGAAAAAAGAAAATTGTTTGTCAACTTGAAGGGATAGTTCACAGAAAAATGAAATTTCACTCACTATGCCAATGGAGGGTTGGGTGAAGGGATCGAGTCCACAAAACACTTTAGGGTAAACAGTGTTTCAGCCAGGTCACCTTCTTCTTCAGACGTAATAAAACAGAAGAAAAGCTAAAAGTACACTTCCGGCAGTGGCGGAGCCAGCGGGCTAACACTTCACCCACCTCCTCATCAGCACAGTGGTGAGTAGATGAGTGAATTTTCATTTTTGGGTGAACTTTCCCTTTAAAAAGCAATACTTCAATTGGGAACATGCAAATTAATTAAGGTTGTTGGAATTTAGTTTACAAGTTATATGACAACAATCGACAACTTTGATTTGTTTGTTACACTTGAAGTCGTTTCATAAGCAGGTTTCTTTCTTCAGTGTAGTTTGAGGACATTTGGACAGATCGCACCCTGATTATCATGTGGGACACATTAGGTAAACAACAGATAACATGGCCGATCTTTACTGAGCACAATACAGTGGTAGTCTGGTTTGTTATGATTAGCATCAGGTTTGCTAACGGGCTTTACAAACACATGTACGTGAGGGCTGCTGTGACAATATACCTAATTCAACAGAAACACGTGAAGCTTATACAGAAAGAGAAACTGTGGTGATGACTGACTGAAGCTAGGTGAGGTAAACGTTTCAGGTTAGCTGGGTAATGCTAGCTAGCAGCCATTTTCATCACCGTCTGCTATTTTCACAGGCTAACGATAGCGAGCCCATGCTAAATTTAACCTTTTTTGAACGAGGTTTGGACTGAGGACTCTGCAATGCTAGGCCAACGACAACTAGCATGTGTTGTGAGTGTGTGTCCCTGTAGTGTTAGTGTAGGGTTTGGTTTGAGCTGTTGAGCAACACAAACACATTACAACACACAGTAGTCGTAGTTATGAGTGGCTAAAGCTAAACTAAGAAGCCGTTGCACGTTAGCTGGCTAATGCTAGTTGACGGTTATTTTTGGTCACGTAAGACTATTTCACAAGCTAACGTTAGCTTGCCCGAGCTAAAGCGGACATTCTTTGAGTGAGGTTTGGTTGAGCGAGGAGCCTGTAACGTTAGGCTAACAATTAGCACGAGTGAAGCGTGGTTAGGGGATTTTAGCGACTGAGTTGAGTTAAACAACGAAGAGTGAGCGACGATTCCAACAATTCAACCCGCAGCCACCTGAAGAAATGCTACATGTGGCTAATACATTATAAACAGCGATGTGAAAGCATTTGGGCCCTGGATCAACTGTTGACGATCTGCTTCAGGAAAACAACGGAAACGCGCTGGTCTCTGACCTGCTTGGATTTGGCCTGAGCAGCGGTCGGCCCCTTCTTCCTCAGCACAGTCACCGTGTCCCAGTCGCTCTCTGCCATGTTTCCACTCGATGATCCGCAGATTCAGAAACAAGTTCAACTCGCTCCCTGCTCAAAACGAAGCGTTGTGTACGCGGCGCTGCTTCTTCTTCAGCGGACTCACGCTCCGTCCACAGTGATCACCCACGCGTTCTGCCAAAGCTTTATTGAAAACGATGAACAGTGACATAAAGGAGCTGGTGTCAGCAGCGCCCCCTGCTGGAGGAGCACACTGACCCACTTCTGGGTTTCCTGCAGCCTGGAGGCTTTTTAACATGATTATACAAATACTTTTTTAAATACACTCGTATCTGCTGTCCCATCATTTATACAGGCTGTGTTATTCTAATGCATAACTTTGTATAGCTTCAGTTATTTATCTTTAAATCTCTATTTATATTTGGCTTCAATACTCCGCCTCGGTTACTTGTATCTTTCATTCACCCCATACTTAAAATATTTGTGTTGTCAATATCTCCATTAGCACATACTTCAGTATGTACTACATATACTACAGTGATAGCTTAGTAGTAGTTCTGGTAGCTGGACTTCCATCTCAATGTTGTGAACTTATTCTTGATAGTTTAAATCTATCTGTCTATCACACTTAATGTACTATTTAAAAAAAAATCTGTTCACACGAACAATACTAATAGCGTGTTTATTAAAAAAACACAATACCAAACAGAAATACAGGGCATAGAAGAATATGTATAGTATTAAATTAGATGTAGAATTATGGAGGCTAATGAGTCTAAATGTCCTAATAAAAAATGAAATGTGAAAAGACTTTTTCAGTCATCAGTTTGGTGGAGGTCCACCAGGTCACCAGTTACAAGACATTTCAGAGGCAGCGTCGCTGTTTCGTCGAGTGCGGATCGGGGACCAGCCGAACTCAGACTGGGCGTCCTCAGCCTGGTGGAAGCGTCCCCAGCGGTAGCCGTGTTTGGAGCCCTGTTTCACCGCCCACGCACGAGGCTTGGGATTCATCTGGAAACAGATGAAATAGAGATTAGCGATGTTGCCAATACAATTTACATTGTATGATGTGTTTCCATATTTCATCAGATTTCATTAACTAGGTGAATGTAAACAGTTAAGATGTACTGATCACAGACTGCATAAAGACCTCAATCACCCCCTGGTGGTTGGCCACAGTATTGGTATAAAAAGCCCTGCCTCCTCTATGTTAGGGGATGGGACACAGACCAAACTAAAAAGTCATAGTTCATGTTAAATACATTTTTCTCTGTAACTTAGATTGATCTCATCCCACTGATGTATGTTCAAGTGCTCATTTAAAGTTTTAGATTATTGTCAGGACCTTGTTGCTGCAGCTCCACATGACAACTGTGCAGAATCTGGTTTTCAATGACATCACCAGCATAACTTGTTGATTACATTTACATTCAGGATATGGAATATATATAGATATTATATTTATTGTTTTATTGAATATCACAACTGTCTGTGGACCTTCCTACTGATCGTCACCCATTATTATATGTCATTACTCCATCATATGCACGTGATCAGCAGAGCTTTTTCTGTGTTTAATGTACTGCAGCATGTAAAAGCATAAGCCTCTAGAAAGCCCCCATGTCTTACCTGAACAAACACTGATGTGTTCATGTGAAGAGTCTCCACTCGCTCTGACAAGTGATTCAACCACTCCAGATGCTCAGCGACAGACTGGCTTAGATCACTGTGGCTCTGTATCAGAGGAAAGTAGAGATCTCAATGACAATGAACTTTGATCAAACAGTCTTGTTTTAAAGATGACAGGCCGACTAACGCACCTCAGACAAGTTGTCCTTCAGTTCGACAGCAGCCAGGCGCACATGCTCCAGTTTGTCGATGTGCTCTTTCAGCCGGTCGTCAAGCTCCTGCATCATCATCAGGCCTTCGTCTGATCTCACGCTGAGTTTGCTGGCCATCCTGAATCTGACACACACACTTCTCTCTTTACAAAACAGACAACTGAAACATACAGACTCAGACAATAAGAAAGTAGAAACATCAACATAAAGCTGGACGATCAAACGTGTTCATATCAGTCGAATTCTGTGAATTATTATAATAAATGTCACGTTATTATATCTTTTAAATTCCAAGACTGAGTTTTGATCCTGAGTGAAGTTTGTGGTTGGAGCTCTTCTTTAGGATAAACACTTGATGAACAGCAAAACAATTTTAACTTGCACCTCCTCACCATGTGGGAACAATGCATTACCCAGCACTACGTGTGTGTGTGTGTGTGTGTGTGTGTGTGTGTGTGTAGAAGTAAAGCAGAAGAAAAAAGCACACCCACAACCATTACCAGTGGATTGCTGTTCAAATCCTCAATTCATAACCAAACTATCGTGATTTTTCTGTTAGAATATGAAACTTAGAGATTTGCCGAACGTGTATTTTCTTTCTTTTTTTCTTTTTCATGCAGCGAAGACACCCAGGCGCGTTCCCTGGTGATTTGACCTAAAAGCACATCGTGATCGGGAGACATTCTTTCATGCGTTTATTCCCAAATTAAGAAAATCCAAGTTTAAAACCGACGTGACGATGTTTGGACGTCAAACTTTAAAGTCAGTCAGTCGCGCGTGCAACACAGTCAAACAACACGAGACAAAACTCCAGAGTTTCCACTAAAGTACAGACACATCAGCTGAAAACAAACATGACTTTACCTGTGATCCGCAGCAGAAAAGTGAGGTGCAGAACACGACTTCCTCCCTCCACAGCCACCGAGCACAAAGTTTCCTCGTCCGGACAAGACTCGTCTTTGTCCGGAACATCTCTGGAATCTGACACTTGTGACGTCACCCACCCTGCTGCGTTACTATCGCTATATTACGGTAATTGATTTACTTGTATTTTCTCAAGAAAAATACCTCAGTACATCTGATCAAAAAACTCTGAAGAGATGCTATTTGTTCTCTTTGTCGTGTACCATCATAGCTTGTAATAGAAGAGAATGGGCATGGGGCTGATATTAAATCTTGATTTGATCTCAATGCAAACAGACTGTTTTGTCTTGCTTCCTACGTAGCATGAATTCCAGACCAATCAGGAGATAGGCAGAAACAACCCATTAGGTTTTTATTTATTCTTGTTATAAATTATTATAAAGTAGAATATCTTTTGTCAGTGATAAACGGTGAGGTGGCTATACCACAAGGCTATTAAAACATTCTTTTGCATTTCAAACCATATATACTAATAAAAATTTCAGCAGATAGATAAGCTCGTCTTTAGCTTCACATTGAATGTTAATGTGTGCTATGCTAAAAAAACAGCCAGTGAAATACCTTTTCTTTTTCAGACACTGAGCTGGTCAGTTTCAAAATGACTCCACTCTCCTGAAGCTTGATTACTGTAATTATAAGGTACTCCCACCAACCTCAGCTAACAGCCCCAAGACTGAAACCATTTGATGCATGATTTTAATATGACAAAGTGAGAGTACAGAATCAACAGTACATTTAAGAAACCACAACTGCTTTATTTCTTTTCTTTCAATAAGCTCTTTTTTTTTTTAACAAGGGAGAGTATTGACCAAATATCTGAAAGGATAAAGATCAGATAGGATAAATAGAATGCTGGATCAGCTGTAGAAAGCACTGGTCCTCCAACAAAAATGAAATATGCATCTTAAAAGTACAAAAAGAAAGAGTCGGGGAACATTTGGGTGCAGGTGAAATGATGAGAGGCATCGAGATCTTTTTCAGTAAGGGATAAGAGGCAGAAAACACTCCAAGCCTGACAAACCTATCGACAAGTGAAAGCAGTCCAGAACACAGTGACCTTTTCAACGTTAAATCCTTTATAGTGCCATAATATCTAAAAATGAAATGTGGTTTTGAGCCTCTCTTCGCTAAAGAGGCCTGACTGTACAGTTAAGTATGCATATACATATATACCAGTGAAACATTAAGATAAATCGCAACATGTTGTAGTGTCATGGAGCATTATAGTAAGCAGTAACATTTAACCAGGTATGACATTGGCAATTTTGAGTTTCAAAATAAATGTCCATTACAAAGAACAAAGAAAAAAAATAAAAGGATGATTCCCAACAGCTTCACATTTTCAAATAGAACACTTTAAAAGTCCTTCGTAGTCCACTGGAACTGCAGCGCGCGCAAAAAAAGCGTAAGCAAAAATGTTTAATTCGGCAAGCAAAGCTAAACGCCCCTTGTTTGTGATCATTAGCTTCTATCAGGAAAGAGTAAAAGTTATTTGGACCCTGAATGTGATTATAGTTAGGCTGCATTTATTGCTCTTGCCACCTCAGAGACCAGATGCTGAGTAATAAAACGGAATGAGTCCGTTTCTTCCATGACACAGAGGGATTTGAACATTACTAGTGAACAGTGTTTCAGGAGCTTTAAAAGGAAAAAGCAAACTTCCCCATGGTTGAGGGATGAAAATATAATCACTTATATCACATGTTCATAAACTGACAATTTGATTCATTTACAACCCAAAGAAAAAGGATAAGAAAGCAAATCAGCTAATTCATGAGGGTCCTTTACAGCAACTGAGAATGCAGCCCCCTCCCCACATCCCCCACACAAAACATCACAACGAGCCCCAAAGTTTTGCTGCCAGCTTGGTTTGTTTAAAATCCTTACAGTCGACGGCAGCGTAACCAACACCGCGTTCGGGTAGATAGGAGTCCTGCGACTTTACACACACACACACACATTCAGCACATCACATGCACACGCCTTATCGATGCCAGTGAAGTTCCCGTGGAAGCGACATGATTTTGGTACAATGTTTACCTTTTTGTTTCAGTTTATAGACAGAAAAAGAGCAAGCAACAGAATGTTTAAAAAAAGCAAACAGACTTTTAAGAAAAGAAATCATCTCTACCAGTCTACGCCGTTTTTGCCGCAGTTCATGGGCTGGGTGGAAAACCCCAGAGGATGCACTTCTAGGCTGATGCGACTCAACCTTTGCCACATTGACATGCAAAGATGTCCACAATTAGAGTAAGCTTTTTTTTTTTCCAGGTTAATAAAATACGTCCTTTACCAGTAAGATGAAGGGGTGATGACTTGAACCTTTTATTTACCAGCAAAAATGAGCAACAGGTGCCCCACTGCATTTCAATTTTCTTTAAAAAAATGTTTAACAGACTTTTCATCTCATAGTGAGTTTTATCAAGTGTCTGCCTGGTCTCGAGGGCTACA